CACGACTTGAACTATCTTGCTTTGCATGTAATGAGTCATCTCATATATTAGTTTCACCTTTTAATTGCATTACTGAAATAAATGAACTTTTGCACGATATTCTAATTTTTCGAGTTTCACCTGTATATCAACGCTGGAGAAGCTCTCGTGTGTATTTCTTATCTTGGAAGTTTGGATTGCTGCCGAAGTCTTGTTGGTGTGTTAATTTACTGTGAATAAATTGTCTAGCAGTAATCTTGTCTTGCCTCGGCGTACGGAGGGGGGGGGGGTCAGAACAGATTACTATAGTAAAAAGGAAGAGAAGTGAAAAAGAAACCCTATAAACAGAACATAAGTAAAATAATAGAACAATAAAATAAACAATGCTGAAGGAACACAGTGAGAATAAGAATAACACAACGAGAATAATATAGGGTCAGCAAAAAGATGGATGAATGTAGGGGAGTGGGAATTTGAGGTGGAATCTGCCATCAATGTAGCAGCCTCTTCCAGCATAAAATTCCCTATCTGGTTCGCAGACCTACTGGCAGAGCCAGGTCAGAATAACAGAGTTGGAAGATACTTTAGAGGTATTCTAGTCTAACCCCCTGCTCAAGGAGGAGTTTCTATACCATTTCAGACAAATGATTGTCCAATTTCTTCTTCGAAAACCTCCAGTGTTGGAACACCCACAACTTCAGGCTCTTGTGGAAGGGTCGGAGGATGGGAGCAATTGGGGGGTGGGATTGCTGTCCTCTCAAATATTTGCACTTCTCAAATCCATTCTAATTATGGTGGGACATAGAATACAGAAATAGGTTTGCTTTGGCCTGATTCAGTAAAGCTTCTCTGGTATTACTTTTCTCTTGTAGAGCAATCCTGGCTGATATAGAGGCCCACTATCAAGATCCTTCTTTGCCTTGTCCCAAAGAAGATAACACCCTGCTGTATGAAATTACTGCTTATCTGGAGGCTGCTGGCATCCATAATCCACTGAATAAGGTGAGGCCGTTTTTCTTATTAAAGCTATCTCATCCCTTGGTGCCATCCCAATGTGTTGCACCAATCACTGGCGTGTTTAGTCAGCATGGCTTTCTAACTTAGGAGACACGATCTTTACTAAAAGGCAGGGTGGGTTTCATTCAAATTGAGTCGATTTAAATCCTGATTTAAATTACCAGTAAAAAGGCTTGATTTAAATCGACCCGATTTAAATCATAATTTTGAAAGAGCAGCTGTCATCTCTATCCCGCAGCAGCTCCTCCTCTGACCCACTGTTGACTCACTGACAATTTCAATATTGCGGAATATACAGCCTCTCGTGCTACATAACTAAGCTCCATTTCATGCTGAATGAACTAAATTATGAATGTATCTTAAATAGAAAACTTTCTTTAGATAGATATTTACTCCAAAAGCATTTTATTAAAATAAACTTGATAAAAATAAATCCAATTTAAAATTTAAAAATCCAATTATTATTATTTTTTAATCATTGATTGTTATCCACCCTGCTAAAAAGTCTCCATTCTGTGTTTCTATGTGAAACTGGCAGGAAAAGAATTCATTTATTGGAAAAAGAGGCAGCAGAGTTTATATTGGAGTGCGGAATGGGGAGGAGAGAGATGGGAAAAATTATTTATTTGTTTATTTGTTTACATTTATCACCCAGCCGTGCAACAACTCTGGACAGTATTGAAACAATGGGCCAGCAATGCAAACAGAAATAGATAATGTATTTGTCATCACTTCAAGCTTTATTTCAAAATCCCTATCCAACATTTAGAAGGTGTGGATAGAAAGGGTTTCTTTAGTGAAGGTACCTTAATTAAACAGCATCTTCAGAAAAAGTTATCCTTAACTTGATGGCCTAGTTTCTCAACTATAGAACTATAACATTATTTTCTTTTTTTTTTCAATAGATTTTTTTCTCCCTCTGTTCTTTCTTTTTAATCAATTTAGCGTAGCATAATCTCTTCTTCAGTTCTTCTAAGTTTTTTTTTAAAGCTACAAGAATTTCATTGCTTTGCTGTCTAAAACAGGGATTGTAAAATAATCCGGATTTTTTAAAAAAATTAATGTATTCTTTCCTCCAAAACGTTCTTTCCCAGATCTACATTACAACGAAGCGATTGCCGTATTTCCCCATTGTGAATTTTCTGTTTCTGATTTCTCAGTTGCCAAAACTTCAGTACAATAAAAACTCAGGTATGGTATAATTCTGTATTTTTTCACTTTAAGTGAAAAGTATTTTCACTCTAGTGAAATTATCAGCACTTAAATTTCCTTGCAGATAGAATTGCAGAGTTTCATTGCTCTAAATTTGCCCTATATAAAACCACTGTTCTTTTACACAAACCTCTATGTCCTGTATTTTGCTCCTGGGTTGTCTCAAAAGATAGTAGTCACGCTATGCGCACTCTTGATTGGGTTATGGCCCAATCCAGAGAGAAGGCCAGGGTGACTAGAGCAGTAATGGCTAACCTTTTTGCAATCATGTGCCAAAAGCAGGGGGAGCGCGAGGGAGGTCCTGCGCATCTGTGCCCACACCCATAATTTTATTAGTCCTCCACCCCCCGCATGCATATGCGTGATTCACACACACACACACTCATGCCTCCGGAGGGCGAAAAACGGCTGAAAATTAAGGCCGAAATCAGCTGGCCAGTGCACGCACGTGCGCTGGTGCTGACGGGGCAACTCCTCGCATGCCCTAAGAAATGGCTGCGCCTACCACCTGTGGCATACGTGCCATAGGTTTTCCTTCATGGGACTAGAAAGACCAGAGAGAAGAGAAACCCAGTGTGAGCTTACACCAGAGCCAGAAGGGTTATGCAACGTGGTTTGTTAGTGGTTAGCGGCTTGGGAAAGAGCAGGCAAAATGGCGTCAAGGTTTCTTGGTGTCTCAGCTGAATGAGACAAACTGCTTCTCCTAGAGTGTGAAGATGGAGATGTACCTGCAAAGGGAGCAGTTGTGTTCCTTCGACGCAGCTTGCAAATATTAAGGTGGACTATAATCCAGGGTGAATCTTGCAAAAAAGAATCCATTTCTCTTCTTTTTCTCCACCATATAACACGAATTTTCCATAGTATTTTGAAATTGATGCCACCAGCTGTGTCTTCTTATGCAGCAACCCTCACAAACTATGAGGAAATGTATTGAGTTAGGTTTTGTTTTCCTTCAGGGATGGTGTGTCGAAAGCCAGCCGATCCCATTGACTGGCCACCTCTGGTGTTGGGACTCCTGACCTTGCTGAAGCAGTTTCATTCACGCTACACGGAACAGTTTCTGGGTCTGATCGGTCAGTTTGTTCGCTCCACAATGGAACAGTGCACCAGGTACCAACTTCTCCTGAATCAAATGCTAGGACAGTGTTTCTCAACCTTGGTGACTTTAAGTCCTGTGGACTTCAACAATTCTGGGAGTTGAAGTCCACACAACTTAAAGTCATCAAGGTTGAGAAACACTGTGCTAGGAGGACATTCCCCTTCAAATGGCAGCCGATAGCCATTATGCAAGAAGTTTTAATTTGAATTTCTGAGTTGACGGTTACACTTCATGGTTCAGAACACATGAATTGCTCTCTAGAGGGTGGAGAACATCTGACCATTGGATGTTGTTAAGTTACAGCTTGCAACAATGCAAATTGGCTAATGACTAGGGAGTCTGAAAGTTGCAGCTTACCAACATGCGGAGGGCCATAGTTTCCCCACCCTCAATAAAATTAAAAGTTGGATCATTGATGGCTCCCTTGTCCCTTTTCTAAAATTGTTTCCGATTCTCTTTAAACCTGTTGGAAATGTGCTCGCCCAAAGAGGCACAGAACTGTACATCAGTAATCCACCCCATAATGTTGCTATTTTGTCAATGGCTAAGTTCACATAGAAATAGCACTTAGACTTATACACCACTTTACAGTGCTTTACAGCCCTCTCTAAGCAGTTTACAGAATCACCATATTGCCCCCAACAATCTGGGTCCTCATTTTACCCACCTCGGAAGGATGGGCGGCTGAGTCAACCTTGAGCCGGTGAGATCTGAACAAACAGCAGCTAGCAGTCAGCTGAAGTAGCCTGCAGTACTGCATTCTAACCACTGCACCACCTTGGCTCAGTCTCATAGTCTCAAGGCACAGTTAACAGATCACAAGCAGCATGAGTTCACATAATGTGCTAAGTTAGTCAGTCAAACCACATATTGGAAATGCGTAAATCCTGTCCTTGACAGAATTTGTAGCCCCAGCTCTTTTTAAAATTCTTGTCTAGCTTAGAGGCCTGGGATTCATCTCCCGGTCAAATACTTACCAAGCTTCATGGTTTAATATTTTTATTGAGCTATAAGATAAAATAAGATACAAAATACGAAAAAATAGGAAAACAGAGGGTGGGGGGGAAGAGAAGTGAGGAAGGATTAGGAAAAAGAAAAAGAAGCATTGACTTCTGACTCTCTTATTGCATTAACAAAGGCATTAACATCAAATGACACCTTTTTGCTTTTTCATAATATAAACTATCCATTTCTATAAGGATCTGTCAGTCTAAAACCACGAAATCGAAGTTTCATTCTTTTCCACTTCAAGCACAAAGTTCAGAAGCGATCTCCATGTGGAAGCAAAAGTACTTTTATTCTTTTCTTTAATCAAAATAGTCCAAATTTGCCCTTTCTTCCAACTCCATCAACTTCTACAACCGTTCGTCCGTGGTAGGAATCGAAGTGTCCTTCCATTTTTGTGCATGCAGTAGCCTTGCTGCTGTCAACATACATAGTAACAAAGTTCCAAATTTTTTCTCCAGGTCTTTTTCCATTAGGACCAAAAGGAAAATTCTAGTTTCAGCTTTATCTCCATTTTCAATTTTTTCTGTATTAAAATATGAATCATACTCCTTTTTTTTTTTGCTTTATCACATGTCCACCAACTTTCATATATATATATATATGAAA